AAAATGGATTTAATTACATATTTGTCAACAATGGGTGGACTGATGGGGATGTGGATGGGATTCAGTGTCTATACGATTGTCACCACAACTATGGATATCATAAGAGTTATTATTAGGAGATTAATACGCATTAAAAGATGGAAAATTGATTTTAAAAAGTTTATATTTTTCGGAAAATATATTAAACGCACCATGCTTATTATAAGTATGTTATTAATGTTTTACCAAGTTAATGACATTTACCAAGATTATTGCAAAAACAACATTAAGTTTACCATTAATGTGATATCAAGTATTAGTTTGCCCAGGATTAATGTATTAGTGTTTCCATTGTTGGAAACTGACAAAAAAAATTGCTAAATATTATCAAGATTATTTTCACCATTCAATAAATGTATCTGTCTCAAATGATTTGTTTGTAAAATTTAATTATAATGTATTGTCTGAGAATAATATGACTTTATATCGCCGTATACTCTATGACTATAAAGCTGTTGATTGCTATTTTATGTTCACCAATGAGTTGCCACTAAAGTGCCCTGATCATGAAAATCAAATCTTACTGTCTAACACTAGATCTAAACAACCCTCTGTACAGCATAATCATTTTGTAAACATAACCAATGAATTTATGTCGACATTTAAATCACGACTAATTGATCGCCGATTGGAGAGAATTGTGTTGAGGTATAGGAGCCGTGGATTGTATTCATTAATACGAGAGATAGAGTCGAGTGAAAGGTCTATATTTACAATAATAGACAAAAACACCGAAACTAATGTCATGTTTAGTACGAAATCGTTTCGACAGTTAAATAGAGATTCATTTAAATGTGTAGAAAGTGGACGAACACGGGATGACTACTTGTTTTATAGCAATTATTATGATAAAACAATTTCAGTTTACAATTGTTTAGTGTTTGAATTAAATAATACTTTCAATTGTGTGCCACTCCTTGGTCTCAAATATGCGATTAGTATTGAACAGCATTTAGAATATTCTGGATATAAATTCTGCGCTAATTATACGGATTCTGTGAACCAAACTGTTATTAAGGAAATACAAAAGACTTGTAAAAAACCTTATAAACGTTTTTGTGTAAATAATATGATCGAGATTAATGTAGTGCATGTTAAGTCTGACCTGAATAACACCCAGATCAATTTAATACCAAATCATTACTTTGAGCCACAAATCACTGAACACTTGGCTATGGATTACATTGACTTGTATTATAATATTGGCGGTACTATTAGTATGTGGATTGGATTGTCCATGCTATCTATTAATACTATAATTATATATATATATATTCTGTTCAAATTAATATTTAATTATGTGTACAAACTTATTAACTATCATAATAATGATATATAAAGTAAACTTATCAAGATTAAAACTGATGCATGTTTTGAGTGTAAAGTTTTCAATGCTGAGAAAGTAGTTGTAATTGTGAGGCACTAGTCGTTTGAATTGATTTTCTATAAAATACTCCACAATTACTATCTATTACTGAATACATGTCTCACAAAACAGGATTCATATAATGGGTTGTGTCTGAAGTTGAGGCTCAAACTACTGGCCCTAATTGAACGCCTGTCCGACCCGTTATTGCTATCTATTGTCTCGATTTGTTTCCGGACACTAATTATGAATTACACGGTTTAGTATATAATATCGGGGGTACTATAAGCATGTGGATCGGCATACACCATACACATGCTGTCCTTTAATACAATTATTAATTATTTGTATAAACTTTTAAAAATTATTTATCGTTATGTTATATATGGATGAAAAGTAAATTGAAATTATTTTAGTGTTAACTGGTTTTAAAATTTAAAAACCTGTTATTATATTAAAATCAATATTAACTTTAATTATAACGTTTTTAATTAATTTAGATATATATATTTAGATTAATTTCTTAATACAGTACTGTACAATGTAACGTTTAATATAGTGTTTTACTTTGTTTATTCATATCAAGAAAATTAATATCAAATGCGAGTAAAACACAAGTTTATTAAATCAATAAACGGTACAAACTGTACAATATTTTACCAAGGTAGAAATATTTTTAAAGTAAGATAGATTGTAGTTTACACCAAAATTTAATGACTATAATTAAATATACGATATTTTCATGACACCAGTCATGATATAAATGATATAACTTTTGATATGAAAATCTTAATACCAATTATTGCTATAATTTTGAGTTCAGTCCTCAAACACTGCTAATGAAAATATTCACTTAATTTCAAAATAATCCGTAAAAATAATTATTAAAATTAAAGTTATTTTTAAAAAAAAGTTTAAATATCACTAATTTTTAAAAATAAATTTATAATATTAATTTAAAAACGGTTTAAATTCATATGGTATACATAATAAGTGTACTTTGGAAATTTAATTGTTTTTCATAGTTAATTAAATACATGTATAATGTCTGCACTCTATTTGCTTAGGAATATAACACACAAAACCTTTGGGGAATAATCTGTAATTCGAAACATTGTATAAACTTTTTATTTATATTTTTAAAACAACTTAGATATTTTAATTCATAAAAATGATTTTATTATTAAAATGTTTTCATTCATTAATTATGAATTTAAATGAATTTTCTCTAACTTTCTTCAATTCTTTGATATTTTGCATTAAAATATTGCGCATAAAACTTGTAATCATTTTGTTGAATAAGGTTTAGTGTGAATTCAAATGTGGGATCAGTTTTGAGACAATTCTCATGAATAGACCATAAGTTATATTCTGATAATACTTGTGAACACTCGGGTCTGTCTGTCCAGTGAGGGCCGGATATGTGCGGGTAATCCCAGTTATAGTATGACATTGAATGCAATACTTGTGTTAATTTAATGACACATTTATTCATAACTTCATTGTCTGAATTTTTTAGTAAACTACAGAATATATTCAAAAAAATTATGTAATTTTAATTTTAATTCACATTATCTTACAGTTTGTCCTCCAAATGAATTCCAAAAATATCTTTTTCAGCAATTATGGCCAAACTGTAGACATCTATCTTATGGTTATAGACCACTCCCTGACCAACTTCTGGCGCCTGATATCTCAGGTCTCCCTTATCTGACGAGTGCTGGTGAACAGTAGCCAAACCAAAGTCACAGATTTTGAAAAACCTGCCGTTCCTTACAGCCTTCGCCACTAATATATTGTCAGGTTTAAGGTCTCTATGAATGACCGGAGGATTCAATTCATGTAAATATTGAACGCATTCTAAAATCTCTTTGAAAATATGACACGAAATGTAA